TCTCCACCACCCTCATCCCAGCACCTCCAGAAGCTCCTTTGTCTTCTCCCCCAAGCCACAGGGAAGTGGCAGCAATGCAGGTGACTGTCAGTGGTGCTGCCACGTTCCCCATGTGCTCCTGCCTCTGTGTGGGAGCTGAGGCTCAGCCTTGCTCTTACCTTGAGCTGCTGCTGGCTCAGGTGTGGAGATAGAGCAGGACACACCAGAGTCCTTCTTGGAAATGCCCACAAGGAGAAGCAGAAGTTTGCTGTAAGGGTTATTGTGAAAGGATCTGGGCCACATCCCATTTTTATCTTTAGCTCCTGCCCTTTTTCCCGTGGCAGTTTCATATCCTCCATGAACACTGATGTCAGCAGAACCAGCTGACCCCAAAGAGCACCTTGACCCCCTTCCCAACCTACAGCTCTGCCCTGCAGGACCTCTGGGTCCTGCTCAGGTGTGTTTGCTATGGGGAACACTGCTGGGAGCTCCAGAGGAGTTTGGGGTAACCCAGCAATGTATGCACTGAGCCAGCAGCCCCCAGGCTTCTCTGCACATCCCCAGCTCTGCTGGGAGCTACCAGCAGGCCCAGGGGATGCTGCAGGGCCTTGGCATCCATCACCTTGAATCCATGGCCCAGGCTGTCCTCAGTGTGGTGCATGGAAGTGACTTTACCCTACAGTGAAAGCATTCCCAGCCCTGCTTTGTGCTGCTGCCTGACAGAGGTGAAGCACACAATGCACACCGAGGTGACCTCCTGTTCTACCTGTAATGTGGCCTTGAGCAACCTGCTCTGGTGGGAGGTGTCCCTGCCCAGGGCAGGGGGCTGGGGCTGGATGATCTCTAAGCTCCATTCCAAACCCTAATTTTCTATGATTCTATGATTGCATCCACTTGGGGGGCAAGGGGAGTATCAGGGTCACTGTTTGCAGGAATCTTGGTCCCTCCTTGGTGGGGGCTGTGTGGGGACATGGGAACCATCCCCTTCCTGCAGTCCAAGCCCTGAGCAAAGCCAGGCTGTGGGTGGTGTGTGCTGCTCACTGATGCTGAGCATGGATGAGTTGGTGGGGGCTCAGGGCCATGGTGATACCACACAAATGTCCAGATGTCATGCACCTGGCTCCACCTGCAGAAAGCTAAGTCATGGAGGAAAAAACACACCACACCAGGCACACTGAAGAAGGTTTTATTGACACTTTCCACAGCCTGGTGACAGCAAAGGGACTGCTGCAGCCTCCTCCAGGGCACCTGGCTGAGCCAGGTGGGGAGGGGAGACACACACAGAGAACTCTGAGGTACAGTTGGGCTGCTGGGGTGGGTTTTGCTGCTCCCCTAGTCTGGGAAGAGCAGGAAGCCAGAGAAGACAGAGTCAGAGTTGGGGATGCCAACCATGCCGTTGTAGTCGTTCACCCCGAGCCACACATCATCCCCAGCAGCCAGCTGGAGCAGGATCCCCCCAGAGCTGACCTGCACAGTGTTGGTGTTGTGGTCACAGAAGCTAGCAACCCTCATCTGGTTCTTGTGGAGGATGACACAGAGGTTGGCTGTCTGTGAGTTGTGGAAGACGAAGTAGTAGAGCCCTGGCAGCTTGCAGGTGAACTTGCCCGAGGTGGTGTTGTAGTCCTGGTTGATGTTGGTGATGACGTGGTTGAACACCACGGGGACGTTCTTCAAGGGGTGCCCCACGGTCTGCCTTGTCACTGAGAATGCTGACTGGTAGTTCTGCTTGTAGATGCCTGGCTCTCCTGGCTCTCCAGCCAGACCCATCACCCCGGGCTCTCCAGTGGGACCAGGGAGACCAGGCATGCCTCTCTTGCCTGGGACGCCATCGAGGCCTGGGTCCCCTCGCATGCCCTTGGGCCCTCGTGTTGCAGGATGAGCTGGGATGCCTGTGGGGAGGGAAAGGGAGGCAGTGGCAGTGTGGGGAGAGGCTCCTCCAGCCCCTTCCCTTGGGCAGGAGAGCACTGTTGCCTCTTTCCAACCTCCTCTCCTGCCGTGCCCACAGGACATGCTCTCCACACCAAGGCAGACTGACCACAGAGGACACAGTGCCCCTCCTGCAGCAGCCTGTGTGGTTTCCCCCCCTTGCTCTCTCACCTGGCTCTCCTTTGGCTCCCTTGATCCCATCACGTCCATCCTTGCCTGGCATCCCTGGCATCCCTGGAATGCCTGGCAGGCCTGCAGGTCCAAAGAAGCCGGAAGGGAATTCTTCAGTCCCACCAGAGCCCACATTCAGGAGGAGGAAGGCGAGGGCCAAACTGAGCTGCTCCCAGAATCTCTTCTCCATTTTGGTGCTCTGGAGCATGGAAAGGGAAAGAAAGTGCTGGGATGAGGGGCTGCAGCAGGGTGGCTTCTAGGCATGGAGAGAGGGAGGCTGGCTGGGAGCACTGGCTGCCATGGGTGTACCCTCAGGGTCCTCCCCAGTCCTATTGCCAGGTGGGGAGAGGAGATGGGCACTGGGCTCATCACCACTCCCAGGGCAGCCCCTGGGGGTACAAGGCAGGTTGGACTGTCAGTCTGGATGGAGCCATGAGCTCTGAGGTCCCCATGACCAGCTCCAAGCCCCCCAGTCCAGTGTCCCAAAGCCCTGGAGGTGCACACACCACTGCAGACCCACACACCCTGCTGCACCGAGGCTGGAGCTGCCTGGTCCCAGCTGATCCCACCCCTCCAGCAGCAGCCTGGCTGTCCTGGCTCTGTCCATCAGGATCAGCTTTCCATCAGCTGGGGGTCTCCTAGGGCAGTGCCTTCCCCCAGCATGGACAAGCTTCATCCTGCCTTCATGACATGTGTGCAGCCTGGCAGTGCCTCTGCCTCCTCCTCCTCCTCCTGTCCCCCAACCCAGCACTGTGCCATGCTGCTGGACCCCCCAGCCCCTTGCAGCCTGCCCCAGAGACACAGACAGACCCCAGACACCACCTCTTACTTACAGCATGGAGCAGTGACAGGACCCTCTGGCACTGCCCGCAGGCACAGCTCGGTGGGAGTGACTTTGTGACACCCTCACAGAGGAAGTCACAGAGTTAGGGTTCTTGGGGATGCAGAATTCCCAGCTGAGTTTCATATCCTCCTGCCTGATGGTTTCTGCTGAGTAAGCACTTTCTTGGCTGGCCTGTACTTTTGCCACTGCAGCAATTGGGGCTGGAAGGACAGAGATGGGATGAGTCTCTGCCAAGTGATGTGCTACACTTCCTCCTCAGCCACTGTGGGGACTTGTGTCCCCAAAATGCCTGTGTCACCCATCCTTCATTTGTTTCTGAGCAGAAGATGGAGATCACTGGATATCACTGGAGATAATCCAGAGCCATCTGGACACAATAGATGTGCTCTGGGATGACCCTGCTTGAGTTGAGAGGTTGGACCAGATGACCAACTGTGATGTCTTGCAGCCTGACCCATGCTGTGATCTGTGAGAAGGGCACCATGGGGAGCAGAGCCTCCTACCAGCTCCATCGAGCTAGACATGCCTGTGGCATTGAAGGCTGGTGCAAGGTTACTGCCTGGCTCTGATGGAAGATGCTGCACCCCTAAATGGGACTGGAGGATGTATCTTCTTGATGATTTCTGACACAGTGTCCCTCTGCAGCTTCCCTGGAGCCCCTTCAGCTCCTGGCAGGTTGCTCTGAGGCCTCCACACAACCTTCTCCTCTCCAGGCTGAACAGCCCCAACTCTCTCAGCCTGTCCTTGTAGGGGAGATGCTCCAGTGTTCTGATCAGCTTTGTGGCCTCCTCTGGACTTGCTCCAACAGTTCCATGTCCTTCTGATATTTGGGACACCAGAACTGTGTGCAGTATTCCAGGTGGGGCCTCAGAACAGAGCAGAGGGGCTGAATCCCCTCCCTCACCTGCTGCCACACTCCTTTGGCTGCAGCCCAGGCCTGGGCTGGTTTCTGGGCTGAGCTCACACTGAGCTCATGGGGAGTTTCTCATCCACCATCACCCCCAAGTCTCTCTCCTCATTGCTGCTCTCAATGACTTCCCCACCCAACCTGTAGCTGTGCCTGGGATTGCCCTGACCCACATGTAGGACCTTGCACTTCATTTTGTTGAACCTCATGAGGTTGGCATGAGATGCATGAGTAGAAAAGAAAACTCAATTAGCTGTGGTGGAAGAAGAGTTTATTTATGCTGCTGGGGAGGATGTGTCCCAGTGCCAGGAAGGCTTTGGCAGAGGTTAGTGGAGCAGAAGCAGTGGCATGCAGTGGTTTCCCACTCAGGAACAAAGAGCCACAGGTGGTGACTGCCTCAGTGACAACTGGGACCCACTGGAGTGAGTCTTGAAAGCCCAGGAAGAGAAGGGGCTGAGAGCCCAGTGCCTCCAGGACGGAGCATGCAGGCTCAGCACGGAGGTGTCTGCTGGGGTGGTGATGCCAGTTGGGACACTGGTGGAAGCACAGGACCCACCTGACCCCAAAGTTAGGGCCATCCCCACTTGCAGTGGCATGAAACCATCCAAACCCCCCCAGGCAGGCAGATACCCCGTGATGCTCTGGAGGTCCCTCAGACCTTCTTTGGGAAGAGCATGAAGCCGCTGAAGACACTGTCAGCCTCTGAGCCACTATAAATCATGTTGCCATGGACAGGGTCAGTGGTCAGGGCCACCTTGTCATCCTGGGCCAGGCTGAGCACGGAGCTGCCCGAGTTGACCTGCAGAATGCCACGGCTGTTGTTGTCGCAGAAGTTGACCACGCGCTCCTTGTTCTTGGTGATGCCCAAGCACAGGTTCCCGTTGGACACCACCTGGTAGGCGAAGTAGTAGAGCCCAGGGGTTTGGCAGGTGAACTCCCCAGTCTCGGGGTTGTAGGAGTTCTCCTGGTTGGTGATGATCTTGTCGAACACCACGGTACTGCCCCTGCTCGGTGGGGACCTCCGTGAGGCAGAGAAGGCAGGACGTGGCTGCTTCAAGATGTCTCCACCTTCCCCTTTCTTCCCCTTCGGCCCTGGTGTCCCTGGGATCCCTGGGGGACCTCTGCTCCCCAGAGGACCCCTGGGCCCTGGGAGGCCAGGAAGTCCTGGGCTGCCTAAATCCCCTTTGGGTCCCTGGATGCCTGTCCTGGGTGCTGCTTTCCCTGGGGAGAGGTGGTGGAGAGGAGAGTTCATGCACATCCTGCAGCTCCCAAGCTGCTCCCACAGCCTGTGATGCTCCTACCAAGAGGAGCCATCCTGGGCTCCCCCTTACCTGGCTCTCCCATGTCACCCTTCTGTCCTGGGATCCCGTCGAGGCCAGGAACTCCAGGCAAGCCATCCTTGCCATCTGGTGCCCGACACACCTCCTCCAGCAGGGCCATGCCCAGCACTGCTGCCCAGGTGGTGGTCACCAGCCAAAATCTGGGTTGCATCCTGCCTCCTGCAAGCACAGGGTGGGGGAACTGGGGCTGAAGATAAATTGGGGCTGGAGACAAATACACCTAGACACAGACACACAAGTGCTCTCATCAGATGCATCCTCAGATCTACCATATTGTCCAATATGGATAACCAAACAGCACAGGCAATGGTGGAAATAACTTCTTAGAAGGATTTTGAGCTGTTTCCTTGTGTGATCTGATATCATTGATGAAAATCTCTGACATGTGCATGGCAGGGCTATGGGTTTGGAGGATTTTGAGCTGTTTCCTTGTGTGATATGATATCATTGATGAAAATCTCTGGCATGTGCATGGCAGGGCTATGGGTTTGAAAAGCAGATCACATGGAGCATGGAACAAACCCTTCAGTGCATGTCCTGGGGATGGTTGGTGGGACCTCAGAGGAATGTAGAGAATGCTCATTCCAGTTTGGGGGGAGAAGCACTGGTGTACAGGGCAAAGGTCCCATGGGGAGATGATGTACAGGGCAGTGGTCCCATGGGATAGAGAGCACAAGAGGGTAAAGGATGCAAAGACACATGATAGGGATAAACAGGAGAAGGAAAACAGGGCAAAGGGATCCAAATCTCTGACACACAGAGCTAGAAGAGAGAAGGGTTGTCCTGAGCACACAGACTTACCTCAAAACCTGAGGTACTCAGCCCAGGGCAAGTCTGCAGAGCCCAGTGATGTCCACAATCACAAAGTGCAGCTCCCTCCCAACCCCCCTATCATCTTTTCCTCCTTTCCATACTTTAAACCCTTGTGAAGAAAGGAGAGGGGCAGGGAGCAAGGTCAGGAGAGCAGTGGCAGAGCAGGAGTGTGTCCCCAGCTGTTGGGGCTGACTTACCTCTGTCTGGGGGTGAAGATAGACCAGTCTGAGCAGCAGTTCAGTTTACTGGAAACACTTCCCCAGGAGCAGGGAGGAAAAGGAGCAGGGAGGAAGAGGAGCAGGGTGGGAGGATGCACGTGCACAGATGGTGCTTTGCCTGTTTGGGGAAGGCAAGTGCCAAGTTTCACTTTCTCTGTATAAGAAAGAAAGTTGTTCCCCTTCCCATGCTCGATGAGATTGTGCTGGAAACAGCTTGGTCAGCAGAAGTGCAGGGTTCCCAAAGCTGGAGCTGGGACTCAGGGGAGAATGTCCAAGGGAAGAGGGAGGTGAGCAGGGATCAGGGTGGTCCCAAAGTCAAGAGGGGCTGGCAACCCCTCAATCCCTCTTCCTGCCACCTCTAGCAGTCCCAAGGGAGGTGTTGCATTGTTTCCAAAACAGCTGAAGGAGAGAATGACTCGTGTCAAAGCCAAACTCAACCCCAGCCCTTTGCCAAACAAAACTTCCCTCATCAGTGCATCTCCATTAATAGTTCCCTCCGGAGATGTCACTGAGCTGAGCTGTAATTCCTTGAATAAATACCCTCTTAATGCAATAGAATACACATTTTTAATCAAAATGTCACCCCGTAATAAATCAGAGGCCCAGAAGAAATGCAGTTTGATTTTATCAGCAGAGTTCCTCTTTCACCCAGACCTGTACTTGTGTCAAGACAAGATGACAGGTGAGTTTGAAAGGACCAACCTTCCACCAAATGGTGCTTCTGGACAGTAATTGTGTTTCTGCCCTACTGCCCTTTCCTAATGCACTGCCCAAATGAGACCACTCCATCACTTCACCCAGGAATGATTGATGGCTGTGTCCTCCTGCTCCTGTGTCCTTTGTCTCCTGCTGTCCCTTGACCCCATTTGAATGCTGAACTCTAGGAGCTGTTGCATGTTTCCAGTAGCTCCTGGAAGCTGGTGTTGGTCTGGGTGTTCCCTCCTCCAGGTCCCTGTGGCACTGAGCAGTGCTTAGCCTCACTCTCTTGACTGTCATTGTTGTTGTGGTCAGTCCAAGCCTTCCTCTCCCATCCTCTGAGCATCTCCTCGTCCACCTGATCTGCAGCTGGGAGAGCATGGAATGGTTTGGGTTAGAAAGGACCTTGAAGATTATTGTGTTCCACCCCCTGCTATGGGCAGGGACACCTTCCACCAGCCCAGGTTGCTCCAAGCCTCATCCAACCTGGCCTGGAACACTCCCAGGGATGGAGCAGTCACAGCTGCTCTGGGCAACCTGTGCCAGTGCCTCAGCACCTCACAGGGAATAATTCCTTCCCAATATCCCATCCAGCCCTGCTCTCTGGCAGTGGGAAGCCATTCCCTGTGTTCTGTCCCTCCATCCCTTGTCCCAAGTCCCTCTGCAGCTCTCTTGGAGCCCCTTCAGGCACTGGAAGGGGCTCTAAAGTCTCCCTGGAGCTTCTCTGGGCAGCCTGTGCCAGTGTCTCACCACCCTCACAGGGAAGGATTTCTTCCCAACAGGGGAGAGTCAGGTTAGATGTTAGCAAAAGCTTTTTCCCTGTGAGGGTGTTCAGGCACTGGAATAGGCAATTGCCCAGGGAGGTGGTGCAGTCACCATCCCTGGAGGGGTTTGAGAGGTGTCTGGATGTGGCACTGGAGGATCTTTTTTAGGTTTTAGGGGTTCCAGCAGTGACAAGATAATAGTTGGACTTGATGCTCTTAGAGGTCTCCTCCAACCTTGCTGGTTCTATGATTCTATGATCTGTCTCTGCCCTCTAGCAGTGAGAGCCCATTTGAACTGCAATCGTGCCTCCAGATGTGCCAGCTGCAGGGAGCTATGGATGAGCATCGCACGGTGCCATCCTGGAGGCTTCTGCTGACCACAAGTGCCAGCACAAAAATGCCTCCAACCTGACCCCCTCCTCCCTCCCCTTCCGCCGGGGTGTCTGTGGGAGCTGTGCTGGCCTGAGGACGCGGTGGGTGATGGATGAGCCACGAGATGGCAGTGCTGCCTCAGCCATGCTTGGTGTCACCTGCCCATCAGGCTCGGCCTCCTCCTCCTCCAAAAGCAGGGGCTGGGTGACCCCCCAAGGGTCCCCGTGTCCCGCAGCATCTCCAGCTGCAGAGCGAGCACAGGGGCATCCCAACGGCCACAAACACCCTGGCACCAAGGTGGGGACAGGTTGGCACCCTCTGAGACTGGGGGAGGAAAGTGAGGACCGGGCTGTGGTGGAGGTGCAAGGAGTCCTTGGAGTCCTGGCAGGTCCAGCACCACCACCAGCAGGTTCCAGTCTGGAGAAGGGGCAAGGATGATAGTGAGGAGCCCCAGATGGGCAAGGAGAATGGAGGAAACCACCAGATGGGCAAGGAGGATGGAGACGATCCCAGATAGGCAAGGAGGATGGAGGGAACCCCCAGATGGGCAAGGAGGATGAACTGACTCCCCAGACGGGTAAGAAGGATGGAGAGGATCCTCAGAAGGGCAAGGAGAATGGAGGAAACCACCAGATGGGCAAGGAGGATGGAGGGGACCCTCAGATGGGCAAGGAGGATGGAGGGGACCCTCAGGTGGGCAAGGATGATTGAGAGGACTCCCAGATGACATGGAATGTGGCCAAGCCCAAGGCAGAGAGGAGAGTGGGTGTTCCTGGAGTAGCCAGAGGTTGTAGGTGTTCTGCAGAGCCTCAGATGTCACAAAACCATCCCCAAAGAGGACAACACTGAGGTTTGTGTACCTGACCACTCAGATGAACACCCGAATAATTTAGGGCACCTGTCATGGCCTCCTGGCCCTGCTGCACACCCAAGAACTCTGCTCCAGATGGATTTTATCCTGAGCAACTCTCTTCCTTTCAGGCTGGGCCATGGGGCAGCTCCTTCACCTATTGCTGCCCTCCCAGCTGCTGGTGCCAGGCAAGCCAGGGCAGTGCCATGCCAGCCTTGAAGCCTTTCAGGAATGTACAGTGACCCCTGCAAAGCCTCCCCCCCATGTCCCCAGTGCCTGCAGGCACACAGGAGCTGCCTGACAGCAGACAGCAGGGAGGATGCTCCTGTGCTGCCTTCCCTGCTGGGGATCCCTGGGGTGCTGAGCACTGACAGCAGGAGCTGCCAGAGGAGGATAAATCAGGCAGTTGGCACCTCCCTGTCACTGTGCAGGAGGCAGTGACAGATCAGCAGTGCTGGCAGGCACTGCACACCAGTCACCAGCATCCCAGTCTGCCACCAGAACCCACTGGGAGGTCAAGACAGCTCAGAGCATGGAACCCTAGAATTATAGGGGTTGGAATGGAGCTTAGAGATCATCCAGCCCCAACCCCCTGCCCTGGGCAGGGACACCTCCCACCAGAGCAGGTTGCTCAAGGCTTTAGCCAACCTGGCTGTGAACACTGCCAGGGTTGGGGCAGCCACAGCCTCCCTGGGCAACCTGTGCCAGTGTCTCTCCACCCTCACAGGGAAAAACATCTTCCTGAGATCTAACTTCAATTTCTCTCTTTCAGTTTCTCCCCATTCCTCCTTGTCCTGTCCCTGCAGCTCCTAACCCAGAGTCCCTCTGGCAGCTTCCCTGGAGCCCCTTCAGCTCCTGGCAGGTTGCTCTGAGGTCTCCACACAATCTTCTCTTCTCCAGGCTGAACAGTCCCAGCTCTCTCAGTCTGTCCTCACAAGGAAGGTGCTCCAGTGCTCTGATCACCTATCAAGCATCATTTTCCTGCAGCCACTGGTAGCTTAATGATGCCCAAATAACCAGACTGGTGTTTAGCTGCTGAGCTGGGCTGGACCAAAATGGAATAAAAGAATAGAATCATGGAATCACTAAGGCTGGAAAAGGCCTCTGAGATCACTGAGTCCAAACATTAACCCAGCACTGCCAGGGCTACCATTAACCATGTCCCCAAGTGCCACAACCACATATGTTTTAAATCCCTCCAGGGATGGTGACTCCAGCACTGCCCTGAGCAGCCTGTCTCAATGCTTGACAGCCCTTTCAGTGAAGGAATTATTCCTAATATCCAATCTAAACCTCCCCTGGTGCAACTTGAGGCTGTTTCCTCTGGTCCTGTCACTTGTTACCTGAGAGAAGAGCCCAACCCCCACCTGCTACAACCTCCTTTTGGAGAGTTGTAGAGATCAATGTTGCCCTGGAAGGATTTCCTGAGATGTCAGGT